TGACCCCACTCAGTGGCGGGATAAGGACACAGGGAAGCCACTGGCTGACGTTTTGTATGGAAAATGGCGAAGGACGTGTTCGGACTGAGCATGATGCATGGGAAGACCTTTCGCTGGCTCAAAATTATTCTCCTTTCATCTTATTTACTGAGGATTTAGAAAGATCTCTCTTTGCCACCACAAGTCATTTCAAGAAAAATACATGTGTGCATCCAGGTGCGTGACATACGTGTGTCTACTCATCCATGCATGTGGGTGCCCACGTGTGTTCATGGGCAGGCACACGTGGGTGCACACGTGTGTTCATGTGTGGTCAGAGACAGGAGGCCGGGAGGGGACAGCAAACCTGGCTCCGTGCATATTAAATTGAATGTTCAGCGTGATCCCCTCCCTTCGGATGGGCATGGGGTGGCGTCTGAGCACGTCTGAGTCTCCAGCTTCCTCATCCCAGCACTGTCTGGACCAGGCCAGCCGAGATATTCTGGAGGAGTTTCCAGCCAGCCCTCTGAAAAGTCCTGCAGGCCACTCAGCTGCAATGGGAACAAGTGGAGCTGGGTGTGGAGCACAAGACCTTTCAGAAAACCAAGCTCAAGGCCCACACTTGCTCCTCCAATGACTCCGGATGCAGTGCTCGGTGCCCGGATGCCGAGCTCTGCCTCGAACCTGTGGCTCTAGGCCGGGATCCTGATGACCAGCTGTGAGGACGGGAAGAGATCCCCGGCAGTGATAGCAGGCCCTCGCCCCCGTACACGGAGCTACGGGTGTCTTCAGACTAGGAAATTACAAGGTCTGAGGCGCCTGGAGGTACAGCACTGGTGCCCAGAGAGCTGTGCCCACAAAGGTAGCAATCAGGTGGTGGCGGGATCGGTTTGATCTTTGTCCGAGCCGCAGGATGACTCGACAGTCTCCCCAACCCACCCGGCAGGCACCGCCCCCAGAGCCAGAGGCCCTGGGGAGAGAAGAGCTTTGGGGGAAGTTCAGTGCTTCCGGGTCTGCAGTCCTGACAGTCACCCTCCCTGCAGATGGGCCAGGTCTGGATTTGCCATTTGGTCTCAGCACGAGGTAGACTAGAGAGAGGAGGACAGTGCTGTCCAATTAATATCTAAGAGCGTTTATTCCAATAACACCACTTGTTTATAAACTACCAAAGGGCTGCAGGGCCACATTTGTGGGGTGGTCCTCAGAGTGGCCGATGTGTTCTTCTACAGTGTGGTAACACTCTGCTGTCTTGGATCTGCAGTGTCACCGCCCCTCAAAGCCCACTGTGTCAAAAGCTTGTCCTGGGAGCTGTGTAGACTTTAGGAGGCGGGGCCTAGGGGGAAGTCTGAGGGCCCAGGAGCATGCCACGGAAGGAGGCTTCGTCCCTTCTCTCCTTTCCTTTCCTGTCCCAACTGCAAGGCAAACAGTTTTGCTGCCCACCATGAAGTCCTGCCTCACCATAGGCGCAAAGAAAGAAGGCCAAGTGACCACGATGGAAACCTTTACTATTGTGAGCCAGCAGAAGCCTTTCCTCTTTTTAAATTGATTATCTTAGGTATCTGGTCACAGTAACAGAAAGCTGGCTAGTGCAAATACATGCAACATAACATTTACCATTTTAAGTGGACAGTCCTGTGTACTAACTCATGTTGTTGCACAACCATCACTACTGTTCATTTGCACTGATTAAACAATAACTCCCGGGCTGGCGATTTAGCTCAGTGGTTCTGCCGCCTGCCTTGAAAGCACAAGGTTCTGAGTTCGATCCCCCATACCAAAAAATAAAAGGACAATTCTCTATTCCACCATCCCTCCTATCCCTGGTAAGCACCATTCCACACACTATCTTGATGAATTTAGTCAAAGGTCTTCGGATAAATGGAATCAGATCTCTCTTTGTTACTGGTTTATTTCATTCAGGACAGTGTCCTCAGATTTGATCCATTTGTAGCATGTGTTAAAATTCCCTTCCTCTTTAAGGCTGAATAATATTCCATGGCGTGTGTACTACATTTCATTGATCCATTCATCCATCTGTGGACATTTGGCTCATGTTCCACTTTTTATTACCATGAATTGTTATTGCAAATTATGTCATTATTGTGAATAATGATGTGAGGAAAGTAAGTGTAAAATCTGTGAGTCCCCACTTTGAATTCTTTTGACCTCTTTATATTTCAAGACATAAGTTTTTGGAGGTTACTTTTCATTGGGGGGGTCCCTGGGCCGAGAAGCTACTGTATCTGTTCCAAAAGGATCAATCTCCCAGGGTCCAGAGTTCAAAACAGCAATTAGCAAACATAGGATGGTGCTGAAATGTCTGTTGCTCACTGTCAGCTAAATCCTGGGCACAGGTGGGTAAAAATGACGTTACATTTCAGAAACTCCCCATTTCCTTCCAACTGGCCGGCCTTTACCAGCAAACACATTTTTGTCCCAACAGAGCCAAAGAAGCCTCAGCCTGAATTGAGATGTGCCCTGCCTTTGAGGACAAAGCATAAACAAGAGCAGATTTATTTCCCCCTGGCCTTCCATACTTAGCACATTTGCCAGTAATTAACTAGTCTCGATTTGGAAATCTCCTTATAAGCAAACTTCTGTCTAACTCTACATTACACATGAAGCCCCATGAACCTTCGTTATTTATGAATGATTGTTTTAAGAAATGGAAAGATGTCCTGATTCATATTGGATGGGAAATGGGAGCTCTCCTCAGTGAGCTCTGTGGTTTCTGGACAGTGACTTGGCAGCTTCTAAAACCACACAAAGCCCAGGACTGGGAAGGCCCCTTGCCTCGGCCTTGTATCGGCTGCACACTGGAAGCCTGCAGTCATTGGTACAGCACCTTTCCTTCTGTTGGTTAACTTGAATTTGGGTACTGCTGGCAAATAGAGGGGATCTTTCTGTTCCCAGTGAAAGCCACATCTCACCCCAAATCATATGTCACTGGTGAGGCACAGATATAACTGACAAGCTGTTAAGAGTTGAACTCTGACCCCAACAAGTCATGTCATAGCCCTAACCCCTGGCGCCTGTGAGTGGGGCCTTGCTCGGAAATAAAACCTTGGCAAACATAGGTGATGAAGGGGCCATCAGCATGGGCCAGTGTGACTGGTATCCTTAGAAGAGGAAAAAATCACATGAAGAGAGAGACACAGAGAGAACATCATGCAACCACGGAGGCAAAGACTGCAGCGGTGGAGCCGCAGGCCAAGGAAGACGCAGGACTCACAGCTGCCACCAGAGGCCGGAGAGGCGACGAAGGGCTTCTTCACCCTGCTGACACCTTAGCCGTGGACTTCGGCCTCTGGAGCTGTGAGGAAATTCTCTTCTGGTGTCTTTAGCCCCCTCTCAGTTGCAGGAGCCCCAGGAAGCCAATGTGCTGGCCAGGTTCCAGGCCTCTTTGCTTCCGCTCTGAGTTCTCAGCTCATTCTTTATGTCGGAAAGCACTAAAGAACCCCAGAAGTTGGGGCTTTCAAGTTCAGAACCCCACAGATGTTTCTCCGTACACAGAATCCAATCCTCACTGTCTTCCTGCCTCACCAGTCCTTGGGGCGGTGCCTCGGGAGTTTCCTGATGAAAGTCTCTTTTATTTGAGACGATTCTAAGTCCAGACTGTGTCTGAGCAGAGAAAGCCCAGACCCCCCACCCTCCTCCACTTGGTGGGCAGGAAGTGCAATGGCTCCAGTGTCCCCATGGGACAGCTGCAGTCTGAGTCAGAGGCACCAGCATGTGGCAGAGCATGGCCAAGGCCGGTGGCTGATGTGGAGCTGCAGGGGCCAAGCGAGGACCTGGGGAGAACTCACAGCCGCCAGTGTCTTTGGAGCTGTGATAGGAGCCAGAGGGCCGTCCCCTCTGCCTGGGAGCAAACCCTGCCTCTGGCACTCCTGCTGTCCAGCTTCTCAGAGCCTCTGCTGCCTCATCCATCACACAGCAGCAAGAGCACTAAGCAGAGGTTGTCTTAAGGGTTAAATGGGCATATATGTAATATGCTTACATCGGTGGCCGGCACACAGCGGTGCTAGCGCACTCAGTACCATTGTTGGTAACACAAGGGATCCATTGAAGTCAGACTTCTGCAAGGTAGCGGGAAACTTCGAGCAAAGTTTTCCATGGAAGTCTTCTGACTTAGACAGGACGTGCTGCTCTTGAATTGGATGAAGTCAGGGCTTCACATATGCTAGAAAAGCACTCTACCATTGAGCCACATCCCCAGCCCCAGGAAGCCAGTCACCTTGAACTTCATGCTGGAAGTTAGCTGAAAGTCTGCTAACTACAAGCTGAGGTGGCCTGCATGTGTGCTGCCCATCGCAAAGGGCACTCAGAACAGTAACCCAAATTATAGGTCTCTCTAAATATGTCACTGTCCTTTCATTAGTTTATTCATGCAACAAACTTCAACCAACTTCCTAATGTATGGCAGACCTTAGCCTGGCCCTATGAGGAACCAAAACATGATCAGGGGTTGTAGCTGAGCCATACAGCACCTACCTAACATGCACATGGCCCTGGGTTTGGTCTCCAGCACGGCAAAATTAAAAAAAACAACAACAACAACTCAGGGAGCTGGAGATTCATCTCAGTGGTAGAGCATATGCTTAGCATGCACAAGGCCCAGGATTCCATTTCAGTACCACCAAAGTTAAATAAATAAATAAATAAATAAATAAATAATAAAATTCAGGCCTCAAAGACCAGTGGAGATCAGAAGAAAGGTCATCCATCCATTCACCCATTCATTATCCACCCATCGATCCACAACCATCCCCCGATCTAACCTGAGCCATCTACTATTTTCTATCACATATAGAAGGCAAGTAACCGCCCTACCTCAATGGAATAGTGTTAGGAAAATGCTCAAGATCCCCTTCCCCTAAGTCCTACTTTACCCTCTGATTAGGGCTTAAACTTTCACTCATTTAGGTTTAAAAATGCCTCCTTGGAGGGATAAGGTATGAAGCTGTTGAGAATCATTGCCACCTTGGAGCAGAAGGGAGGATGGAGGGCAGGCTGTGGTGGGAGGTGGGAGGTGGGGCAAGCAGGGAGAGGGGTGAATTCCTTAGGTTCGGTGGAGCAGATTGACAGGTACAGTCGCTTTATGATAAATGACTTGGCATAGAGAAAGAAATAATAGATATGATGGGAAAACTCTAAATAGAAGAGGATCTGTGGCCAAGAACGACCTTGATGTTTTCCTCTATGACTGCCAGATAAGACAAAAAAAAATAGCTGTGCAGACTAGGTCGTGGATGGATCCTCCATCAAGAACCCCTGCTCCAAGCCTGACGCCCGGCCCAAGCCCCCTGCCCTCCTAGCTAAGGGCAAGATCTCCCGAGAAAGCCCCCTCCTCCCCTTGGCTCTGGCTTCCCGTTCAGCAGTCTCTTCTCTCCAGCTCAGCCACACTGTTCCTCAGCCCCGCGCCACACCCACTGGAACCACCGGAATCACAGCTGTAGCAAAGAAAATGTTTGAAAACCAAGTTGCCCTTTGATCGGAGTTTACCGGTGCATACCCAGGGCCCACAGCAGCCCGCAGGTTGACACCAAATTGCTCAATATGGGAAAAGTCCAAATGGGGACAACTGCGAGGTGAACGGCCCATGGAGGGCACAGTCACTGTGGCCAGGCACTCCGTGCAGATGTCTCACGCACTGTCATTCCAAAATGTGGCAATGACCCTTCTGGTTAGTCTGGAATGTCTACCCGGCGTGGGGTAGTTAGCCTCCTAGCCAAAGGGCACATCTGCCCACGCAAGTCACGCTCAAGGATAGTTGTCCGGACAGCTTTCTCTCCAGCAGGCTGGCCTGGAAGCTCCCAGTGGCCGGAGGCCTCTGCCTCAGTGATCCTGCTGCATCTGCGTTGTCCCCGAGAGTGGATTCCCAGCCGGGTCCCAGAGCGGCGAGGCGGATGCAACTCGAGGTGGCTTGTGTGTGAGTCTGGGGTGAAGCGGGGAATGGGGGCAGTGGGGTGCAGCCATGAGGCCCTGCAGGACAGGGGTGTGGGACAGGGCGGGCGTTGCTAGGGCTGCTGCAGGACAGGCAGCTTGGGGCTGGGCCCCGAGATCCTCTGCGCCCAGCAGTGAGGACACCGGCTCCCAGAGCCAGGAAGGTCAAGAATCTGGCTCCTCAGCCTGTGGGCAGAACTCTTGTCAACCTTTGGTCGCTTGCCGGGCCTCATCTCGGGACCATCTGGGTGTTAGGGGGCCCCGGGTCCGCGTGGGGAGCTGCTGGATCCCACCCACCCTCATCTGTTCTGATTCCTTTTTTCTGCTCAGGGCCAGGCAGTGTCAGAGTCCAGATTTCAAAGTCTTATCCTCCTCACTGCTGTTCTCCTGGACCCCCACACAGTGGCAGGGAGAAGGCGGGAAGCTGGGAGATCTCACTTAAGGAGGGCAAATCTCGAGAGCAATCTGAAGTGCGAGTTAATCCTCGGCTACCTTGACCGCACCCACAACCGGGGCCGCTCCCAGTCTCTGAGAGGGTGGAGGAGAAAAGGGTCCCCAAGCCCTGGAGCCGTGGGGACACTGGCTCTGGGCTGCTCGTTCCCACATTTTTCAAGACCGAAAACCTCTTAAGCGTCGGGTTTAGTTCTGGGGTCCGGAGCCAGAGAACTGGCCCAGCCTCGAGGGCCCAGCACAGAAAGTTCTGCCCTTGATGTGTCTGTCCCTGCTCCGGGGACCTGGCTCATGTGTCAGGACCGTAGCCCTGCGTGAGCCGGTGTTCCCCCTGGTGGCTTTCAGGTCTTCGCAGATCTCTTCTCAGCATCTGCCCCACTGCTCTAGGACGCCCTGCACAGGGCTGTGAGCCACAGGTGGAGCCATGTGCCCTGATTAGTCAGGCTGGGCGCAGCGCCAGCCTCTGTCCTGATCTGATCCTCCCGCCTCTGAAACTTGCACATTCCTACACCAGCATCCACCATGCACACGCACACACCCGAGCACACATGCACACACACGCACACACGCACACGCACACACACACAGGGCCTTTACACTCAACTACATCCCCAGCCCTTTTCTTTTCTTTCTGTTTTCTGAATTTTGAGACAGGGTCTCGCTCTAGATTGCCCAGGCTGGGCTCACACTTATGATCCTCTTGCCTCAGCCTCCCAGAGTGCTGGGATCACAGGCACCCAACACTACACCTAGCAGGATGGGTGTTTTAAAGGGCACCCGTGGAGAAATCTGCACAAAGGAAGAAACAAATTCTTGCTGCTATTACTGTTAAATATTTCCTGTTTTCCCTATTCATCTTTTTCTAAGATAAAGTTCAATAAAATTAAAGATGTCTACTTTGTTTTTTAAAAATCATTTTGTTGCCAGGCATGGTGGCACACGCTTGTAGTCCCAGCACTTGGGAAGCTGAGGCAGGAGAATCTCCATGAGTTAGAGCCCAGCCTGGGCTATATAGGGAATTCAAGGCCAGCCCGCACTACATAGTGAGACCCTGTGTCAAAAAATAGAAAAAAATATCATTCTCTTGGAGCTGTGGATGTAACTTAGTGGTAAAGCACTTCCCTGACATACATAAGGCCTTGGGTCCAATCCCTAGTTCTACAAGAAGAAACAAAATCATTTTCTGTCTTACATCAAATAAACATGGGTATGGTGGTACCTACCTATAATCCCAGCACTCAGGAGGGTGAGGCAGGAGGATCTCCATGAGTTTGAGGCTGGCCTGGGCTACATAGTGAGACTCTGTCTCAAAAAAAGAAAAGTCTGTTTTTCCAACTTGTACAATGGCTTCTGAAGATGCGGCCAGCGTAGGAGGGATTCCTGGCGCTTTTCAACTCAGACTTCCTTCTGCCTGTTGATCCGCCTGGCCTTCCCCAGGCTCGGGTCTGCAGCTTTCAGGATGGGTCGCTGCCAGGCCCCCGGCTTCTCCTGGGTGGCCAACAGTGACACCACACAGGGAATTTTCCACCTCTGAGCATCTGGAGGGAGCAGGCAGGACCTGAGCTGGGCTGGCCTCCTCTGTCTCCCCGTGGATGACTCTGTAAAAGGTGGAAAGGAGAAGACAGGCCCTGGCTTCCTCCTCCTCACTCTCCGAGGCCTGGGGCCCTTGCAGGAAGCATCCTCTGGGGGACAGAGGCGGCCCCCTGGCCTGCACCAAATGGCTCCTGTGCATGATCGGGAAGCCCAGTTCTGTTTGCACCGGGGGCCACTCTGGGCACCAGAGACCCTTGAGGGCTTTGTTTTCAAAAGGCTCCTCCTCCTTGGCAGGGATTCAGGAGGCCTCTGAGCAGCACTTAAAGAAAGCAAAACTAAACTCGCAAAGCTGTGTTTTCTACTCTGCAGGACACCGCGGGAGTGTCTCCTGCTCCTTTCGACGTCCTGACCGTTGAGAGAGGAAAACCCCAGGGTCTGGTCCCCAAGTGTGGCCACCACACCAGGGCCGGTCCAGGGCGCATCCCCTGGGTCCCCTGGAGCCCGCACTGCAAAGAGCTCTGCAGTTCCTAATAATCCCAAGCAGGGCCCTGCGTTTCCCTGTGCACTGTGTCCTACTTTGGGAGGCAGCCCAGAGCGGTGAGCCATGGCTCTCTGTAGCCACAGACCAGCCCACGGGCCCGGCCACAGGTGTGGCTGAGGCCTGAGGGCTGAGCGAGAAGCCCTGGTGCCACCTTCCCCACAGGGCCTTTGCTGTCTGCAGGCTCACACCTGGCCCAGCGACACTAAACTTTCTTTCTGAGTCGGGAGGAAGCCACCTCCACCAGGCAGGGGAAGGCTCCCTTCCCATGGGGGCCCTGTGCTGCCCTGGGAGGAACCAAAGGAACCCAGCCTCCATCTGTCACGCCTGCCCAGCCACCTGGGGTCACTCACAAGACTGCAGCATGTGTGCACCTCATGACGGAGACCAGGCGCAAGAGCCCACTCCAGGGTGTAAGCCCCCGCTAAGAGGATGCTTCGCTTCTTCATTATTCCCTTGCTTTGCAGGAAAGAGCAGGGTGTCTGGTGTCGTGGAGAGACGTGGTTCATGAAAAAAGATACTGAAAACTAAATTTTAGCGACATGTGTTTCGAGTTTTGTTTTGTTTTGCAGTGCTTGGGGTAGAGCCCAGGCCTTCAGGCTGTGCTACGTCCCCAACCCTTTTTAATGTTGAGATAGAGTCCCGCTGAGTCATTAAGTTGCTTAGGCTGGGCTCAAATTTGTGAAGTTCCTGTCTCAGCCTCCCAGAGTGCTGAAATTCTAGGCGTGTACCACTACAACCAGCTATGGCACTGTGGTTTGCACCTAGCGGTTCTGCAAACCAGAGACATACAGGGCAGGACAAAGACTTATGCCAAGAGTTAATATCTTCCCGAACAGACCTGCACTGCACGCCCACCTCTGGGTCATGGCTCTTTCCAGCCCTGTTTGTCTTCCCCTGGCACAGGGGTCCGACAACAGGATGGCAAACTCCCTGTGCAACCACAGGGTTCCCACCTCCCCCACCTTGTCCCCCCACCCTCCCCAAGTCCCACCCCCAGTGGCCAGCGTCCTTCCATCCGGGCTCCAAGAAGCCCAGCCCTGTCTCCCCCACTGCTCCCGGGCCCCTGCCCACCCTTGGGCTCCCTCCCCTCTGCCCCTGAGCTCCCTGCTCACGGTCTGTGCCCCTTCGAAGGCTCCTTCCCTCCACCAGCTCCACCCCCACACCCCACTTTCCCTTCACTCCTCTGGGTGCACTGCACGGGGTCTCCCCGTCCCCTCTGCCTTTGCCATTCCCCCTAGACGAGTCCCTGCCAAGTTCAACGCCACCACCTGCCCACTCAGGGCCACAGTGACGCAGCCTGTGCCGTCCTGTGGCCATGGCCCCAGCGTTCCCCGATGCCTCACAGGCCCCCGGGTACCAACCAGCACTGACCCGTCGCACCAGCTTCCTTCCCAAGACATCGCCTTACTTCCGGTGTCCCCAACACAACTGGGCTCATCCAAGGACATCCACGGCCACTTCTCCCCAGTTCCTGGACCAGCGTGGAGGAAACAGCCTGTGCCATGGCCCTGAGGTCCCCCCTACCGGGACATCTGCTCAGCTTCCTCAGTGCTTCCTCCTCCCTGGACCACTTCCAAAATCACAGACGTGCTTTGACCCCTGATGCCTTCGAGCCAACAACAAAACAAAACTCCTGTCCCGGTCACACATCCCGGGCCAGAGGCTCCTGCCTGTCTCACTCTGCTGTTGTCGATGTTTGGGGGATGTTTGGGGTTTCGTTGGATCTCTTTGGCCATCTGGGGAGGCCGATGTATCTTTTCTCAGCACAAAGCTTTTAAACATGTAAAGTAGAAAATGATACGCAGGATGCTAAAGATACTGCGATGATAGTGCAATGCACGGGTGCAAATACCTCAGGCAATTTGTTCATAGTAACTTATGTGCTTCCTGTGAAGGGCTGGTAGCTCACGACCCGGCAGGCCCTTTAGAGCCACCGTAACTCGGAAACGGGACACTGGTAAATGACCTTTCCAGGTCTCTCCAGCACCTGTAATTCGATGCACAGTGTGGGCGATTTCTACGGCCCGTGAAGCCTAGGCACTGGTGTTGCCTCCGTGGGCCGCCACCATCCATGACTGAAGGAAACACTGACTGTCAGGGAGGGGCTGATGAAAAAAGAGATGCCGCCTGTTTTCCTACCCAAGTGGACACATCACCTGGAAGCCAATGAGCCCTGGACCCTGTCCTACAACGGCTGCCCCATTTCCTGGTTCCCTTCAATGGTCCAAGGCCTTGAGGGAATTCTCTGGGCTCGTTCTCTCCTGTCCCTCTGTCCCCTGTCTCTCTTGAGCCCACTTCTGTCATTCTGCCGAAACTGTACCTACCATGGTCTCCACTTTCCTTCAAGTTGCTAAATCCAGTGATAGCCTCTCAGCACTCAGCTTACTTGATTGCCCCGATACCTGGCTTGACAAGGTGGATCTCCATCTCCAACACGGAACTCTGTCCTCTCTCCCCGCCCT